AAATATAGTTTTAAAGAAAAGACAGCAATAAAGCTAAATTCATCACAATTATTTGTTTAAGAGGAACAGGAGTGTATGAACTCGGCCTCAATCAGGCGACATTTAAAGGATAATTCCAATCCTCTAGAGCTACCGCGTGCACTGTAAGCAAAAGTTCATGTTTTCAAGGTTTCTCTTTTATTATCGTTTTGTGTTCATTTTCAAAGATAATAATGGATAATAAACAAATGAACCACTTGTTCAACTTCAATACCTCCGCTCATAGAAGCTTGTGCACCTCTTCGATTTTTCGCAGAAACAAGTGCCACAGCAATGACTTTAATTTGGAAAACTTGGTGTGTCGGTAGTTTTAAAGGAGGTTCTTCAGTTGATAAAGGAAAAAATTTGCAATCAGTGTTCACTTTTGTTTCCCGTGTACTCCACGGGAACTAAAATTTCAAATTTTTCACAACATTCTGTAAGAGCAAACTGCATTGCAAAATGTTAGTATCGTTCAAATGATTAAAAAGTAAAATACATGACACACTTTTCAATTTTCGCTCCTAAGTACGCTCCAAAAACATTCCCAGCAACCACAAAAATGTAGTCGCCTGTCTGTATACACACTTTGTAGCAACTGCAGTTGTCAGTTGAAAATTGCCAGTTGCCATCTGTAATATCGTTTTGGCAACTAGCAAAGCAACGGTTACTTGTCAATCGTTCTACCGTCCTAGAGTAATGGCAAAACCTTTTACCTTTGGTTGATGAAGTTGAACGAATAACCGACACGTTCAGATATACACAAGTACACGGTCAAAAATTTGTGTTTAATTTTTAAACCGCGCTGGGACCTCTGCCTTTTTTAATCTTTTATAGTCTACTTTTTAAACCAGCCAGTAGTTTTAAGCAATTTTTTATATATTCTGCTTTAAATTTTAGTCCAAAAAGTTGGTGATTTAAAAATCAACCCAAAATGTTTTAATTCTAATTTCTAGGTTTCATATTTAGAAAATTTGGTATAAAATCTAAACCGGAATAGAAAATGTTTGCACACAGCGAAATGTGATGTTGATCCATGATTCAATAATAATAATTCGTGTGTGTGTTCAAAGCTTTTGTCAGGGAGCTAAGGGAGTGTCAAAACTCGAATGTCACTAATAAGCAAACCTTTAATTATTGAATCATGGTGTTGATTCAAACTCAACATATGAAAGCACATTTACATGCGAGGCTATATTTAGCTGAGTGTGCAAAGATGCTTGATACAATTGGTTGCTACCAAGGCTGTCCGGGTTCAATCCCCATCAGACGGAGCATGAAATTTAAGATTTTTTTTTATTCTTAATTATGAAAATATTTGGGTTTCAAATTTCAATCGAACTGCTTAAATTCAAACCCCAACATATGTGCTCTCTTTTTTTAACTTGGAAGGTTTGTATTTGAAACTGAATTTAGTTTGGTCATATATGTATGTAGTCCAAAAAGTTTAAAATTAAAACCGAAATTTTTAACAGTGTACCCGGTCATTTTAGCACAAGAGCTGTGAAGTGACTTATCTTGTCACTTTCGAAATAAACGGCTCATATGTACATATGCACTATGTATGCAAATTTTTCTTGTTGAATATTTCAAATGAAAACACAGTATTCAATACCAAAAACTATTAAAAATCATACGAGTTGATTTGTGAATTATACATAGTTTTCCACAGTCAGCTCTTTCGATGGAGGCTTAGATTTTAGAGTGCTATGTATGTCTGTATTAATAAAAAAATACGGCTGATCAATTTTTTGCGATTTTTGAGTAGCTATGTTGAAGAGAGCAAAGCAAACACAATTTACTGCTAATGGTGGAATTACCCACCGACGTTAAATCGGAGATCGTGTCAGCTGACAAGGCAAATCTTATGGGATTTCCGTGTTAACGGACGTTGTCGTTGCCCGTAGAGATTATGTTAATACGGGCAGCAAGAACGGATGAGCGCTCCGTCGATCGGTGGTCAAACCATAACACTTGTTGGAAAAGCGTTGTGGAATTTTGAGTTTTTCGTACTGCAAAAAAAAAAATAACGCTCAAAAATTAATTTTAATTTCCAAGAATAAAATACCGCCAACGAAATGAATTTAATTTTCGATCAAAAAATATAACTCTAAAATAATATCACTATTTTTGATGAAAAACTAAAACTTAGAAACAATGGGTCATATGAATAATAAAATTATAGTTTAAAAAACTAAAACCTCCCTATTATAATTGTCATTCGTACTGTCATCAGGTATGTAACTTGAGAATAGAAATCGCTGCATCTTTTAGGCGCATCAACATTACATAGTTAACAAAACAAAAGAGTTAACAAAAGGAAGGTAATAAAAATAAGCAATTACTTTTTCTTAAAATTTCAGACCTTTTGCTCGATTTATTCAAACAAAAGTGAATCCTCATTTATTGCCTCAATTTTTTGTGTTTGGGACAGAGATTTTAATTTTTAGTTTTTAAAAATTTTGCTGTGCCTACTTTCAAGCGCTTAAATGATTAGAAAACAACGTAATTGACTGAAAACAAAGCATGTATGTATGATAATATTTTTATTTCAAAAAATTTAGAATAATATTAAGCAAATCAAGAACATTTTTTGTTAATGGTCAGCGAATTATGAATTTCGTAATTTTTAGTTACTATTAGTGAAAAACATAAGCCGCGTGTTGAAGAATACACAAAATCAAGCAAAAATGACCGAGCTCACCAAAAAGTTCAAGAAGCGGTAAATATTACTTAAAAAAATAATTTAAATAATTACCGTGGGAAACATGCATGTTCTTCACACACTTACTATCGATTTTTTTGAATTTTGTTTCAAACATTAGTGTTAGTTTTGCATGTATATATTTATAAATGCCTATGCGCTGCTTTAAATTATTGCCATCGAAAATAAGTATTCAATATTTACTCCAATAATAATAGGCCTCATGCATAGAAGGGGAGCTTAAGCGCCGACTCGATTTTCAGTACTAATTCTTGAGCTTGAGCACACGCCATCAGTGCAAAAAATTGAGTCTGAGCTCCTCCCTTTTTATGCGTGAGGCCCAATAGATCTGCGGTTGCCTACTTTTTCGTTAAAAAAAAAAAGATATAAAATTATATTGCAAACGATTACCTGCGTTTGTGTCTTTTCTCGAAATAATTTCACTGCTCCAAAACAGTTTTGTGCAAACTTTGTTTTTTTTTTGTTTTGAAATAAAATTTAAATCGCTTTTCAGTTTTCTTTTTCGTATTGCATGCTCGGCTGTGCAAACTCTCGCTTGATCGCCATTTTTTATTTCGTCTTCTTTTGCTTATTTACACACTCTTTGAATTTACACTTGTTCTTCTTAATTCTATTAGTAGATACATTATATAATAATTATCCTTGCGTATGGGGAATCTATTTTCATTCCATATACATATGTAAATTACTAAATATTTTAGCTTTGCTGCGGGTGTTTTCTTAATTCTACTGTCACTGCTTTTCTACAATATTTGCATTATTATTCTTTTGTGATTCGCGCCTACATTTAATTTGTACTTTCTGTGTTTATTTAATTACTACTCTATACTATTTTTCAATCGTGTTCTCTTCTTTTACGTATCCTGTATCGTTTTATTCGTATTAAGTTTTTGTTTACATAGTTTTGTGAATTTTTGGAAATCTTACTTCGAAACAAATATTCGGCAAAAAAAAGCGTGAAAATTATTTCGTGTCGTTCCCACGACAGTCAGGTCACATACATATGTATGTAACCTAGATCCATGTACATATATATGTATGTATGTACAACTGGCCAAGGACTGTCTCTACAGCACTCTCTGGGGAACAAAAATTATTTCTTGTATGTGTGCGTGTGTGCAATATTTAAAGCAAGTGTATGTAAGCAGTTTTTTAATCCGAAAGCTATAAATGTATGTATGTATACATACATACATACTAAATATAATTTTTAGTACTTAAATTTTTGTGAATTTGTTTTTCGTTTTTGCTCTTACCTAAACCTGCATGTTTGTATGTATGTATGTATGTATGAATGTACATAGCTCGTAGGCAATCACTCAAATAAACAAGTTCGCTCATAATTTTAGGCCTAATAATTGATAATTGAAGTAATATAATTTAATTGGTTTTTTTTGTTAATGGTCAAAGTATAAATTTACTGTGCCAATGGATGCTACAATTTTAGCATTTTCAAGATGAATGTCCAAAATATTCTCTCTATAATTGTTTAGTAAAATTTCATATGTATGTACACATGTAAAATTTGATTAAGCTTAGCATTTTGCTTGTGATTATATATATTTTTCTAAAGTTATATGCTGATGTTTCTTAATAATTTCTTTTAATTTTGATTACTACTCTCTAATTTTTAATATATGTATGTATGTATGTATTTTAAGATTTTTTTAGTTTTATTTATTTTTTTAATTTACTTATTGTTTGTGTACGCAAATTTTCAAAGCCAAATAATGCATAATATTCTAAGTACAAATTACATTAAATTTAGCAATAGTAATTTAGCTTACTTCCAAAATTTAGTTTTGCAATATTTTAGTTTACAAATTTTAAACCAATTGTTATGTTGTTTATAAAAAATTTAATAATCTTCATTTAATTTTTTCAGCGTTTGGTTACTTGTTTCTTAATTTCTTTGCACGCTTTTTCGCCCCCCCGAATTGAGTTTAAATATAGAACATACTTGGTCATTGGCCATGGGAGGAAATTTGGTGAGTTGACTCAGGAATAAATTTTAGTATAAGACATCTTATTTAGGTATACACCTGTACCGGAAAATTTTAAGGCTATATGAAATTTAATAACTCACTATCGATTTCAATTACATACCGTTACATTAATTCCCAAACACTTTTTTCGAAACTGAGTTTTTCGCAGATTTTGGTAGGATATATTAAATAGGTAGGATAAACAAAATACACCTTCAACAAAAATTTTGAAGTTTTAGTACCAAAAACAACGGAGTTACATGCCACTTTTCAAAAACCCCTACCTGTTTTTGATACCAAAACAGGGAACGTTCTCTTTGCGCTCTACGCACAAATACTAAGAAGAGGGCAACATTTTTTGTAGAAACAAAAACCCCATAATTTTATAATGATTTTTGCTTCTCCTGTAAAAATAAAAAAAGTTTGTTGGTTAGGGCCTTTGTGAATTAAGGTGATGATATGTATGTATGTATATCGAAAATTCGCTTTTGAACTTCTCAAATTCGAATTCATTACACCGTAACACAAAAAAAAAGTTCAATTTGTTCCACGCGATTTTGAACTCTCACTATGAGGGTATTTCAGAAGTGTAAACATTTTATTTTGGCACCCTCTGAAACATACATATACATAAATACTTTTTTTTTCTATAACTTATCTATTTGATATTCGATTTCTATAAATGATATACAATTGTAAAGGTATCAAAAAAGCACACAACAGACTATTCTAGAATGTTAAACTAAAAACGCTATGAAGTTTTTTTTTTTTTTTAACTACACCCTGTTATCAGTAGTAAGAAGCTCAAAAATACACTCTAGCTTAATAGTCGAACACACGGCACAACCAACTAGAGTTCCGAAAAAAAATTTAATTATGAAATAAATATTTAATACCAAATATTTACTTGTTATTGTTTGTTATTGTTATCATACAATTGAACTCCTACACAATTACCGTTACTTAGCTGTTGTTTAATGAAAATGGGTTAATATTTTTCTCGCCGACGGATTATAATTTGACATATAGATGGCGTATAACATTCAAAGTTTATGAGACATGATAGTAGCTCAGCATATACAACTGTAGGCTTTCTTGATACCTTTATAACGAGGTGTTATTTATAGAAATTGGACATCAAATAAAGAAGTTAGAGCAAAAAAAAGCCGATTTAGCGATTTTACTATATAGTAGTGAAAATTAACTTTTCCGAGTGACCTAGTGCAGGCCGTAGCTCTCGTCAAATAATTCATGAAACTGTGTTCATAATTTTTCATACAATCGAAACTTCGCAACTTATTCATAAAAAATTATTTTCAAATGACTTTGTAAAAAGCTTTTAACTCAAATATTTTTTTTTTGGCAATTTTTGGATTTAATAAGGATTCAGAAAGAAGAACGTTTTTTTATTTCGTTTTGAAACGACGACGCCAACGGGAATATACCTGTCTGAAAATATTTATATATAAAGACATTTTTCGAAAGAACTATTTTTGATATTTTTTTTTCAATTCAAAAGGTGGTGGGACCATTTTTTCAGAAATACATTCTATTTAATTTTTTACAATCTTTTCCTTACTATTTGTCCGAAATTACATTCAGTTGCAAATCATTTTATCGAATACTTGATAATCGAATTAAATAAATGATTGTTTTTGTGTTCCCACGACAGTCAGCTCCACGTAACCCAACAACTCTGGGGAATTTGTATGCTCTTAATACAACAACTACAAAAATGTTGTTTTTTTGTATTAGAGCCGGTTATAAAATGGATTTCTTTAATAGGTGGCGCTGTTTTCTAGGTATATCAAAAGTTTGTTTTTATGAATAATTTGCGAATCTCTTCGTGACAGAAAACATATCTTACACAGTTATGTAAATTACTCGAACAGGACCACAACAAATACCTCGTGCATGAATAAAAAGTTCCCTGTTCCTTTCTTGATTTTGTTACAATTATTCGCATACACCAGAGTATGTATGTATTTATGTTAAGAGCCCCGAACATCGAATGTGCTTTCTAAATAAGTTATAAATTGGCATCTACAAGCATTCCGCAGTCTTTATTTTCTACCATGTCTTCTCAGCATGCCTACCACATATTTCAACAACGACACACCTGAAGCGAAGGTTTTCCGCTTTCCCGCTTTTGAGTGTCTGCTTCGTCAAATAAGTTGCATGCTTTTTTTTTAACAAATTGCTTACAGAGTTATCCTTTTTTTTACTAGTGTACACATATTATACATATTATAATTTTATGTTATAACTATGTTTTATATGAAGTATTACAGTATTAAATTGTTAATTAATGTGTAGATTTTTTTTGTGTTTTTTCTTTTTCTCGTACAATGCAATACAATTTCATGAACGTCTGAAATGATCTTAGCTCTTTTTACCTAAAATAGGCTAAATGATGCTTAAACTTTTAGCAATTACATACTAAATGGAGTTGTACAGTTTAGTATTTGAATTACTTAATCTTATTTCCTTTCTTGAATTTTTCTAAAAAATATATCATTAGCACAAATACACCTACATATGTACATAAATACAATAGAAATGGCTTATGGTGTGCACGTGATAACCCTCTGAGTAGGTGTGTTTCGTTGCGGCGAGAATTTACAGTTGATTCGCGATTGCTTCGAACACCACAATCTGCGCTACACCTCATTCACTTTATAATGGCAGCGTACGCTTTCTTGTCTTCCGCTTTCTGCGCTCGGATTTCGCCGCCACCGCCCGATACTACGCTTCTCGCCCTATGAAACCATTCGGTGGTGGTTGTGGTGGCTGCTGTGATTGCTGTCGTAACCACTTCTCCTTGAGCGAATACGTCGTAGATGGGCGGGACTCTGTGGTTGGGATCGTAGTGGCTGTTGTTGCCACTGGCGCTAAACTCACATAGCTACTGCAACCCTCATCCGCAGTTGCTAGACTGGTGCTGGCTGATGTGGTAGCCGGTGAATTGCCGGTCTTTGATGTTGCCTTCTCATCCAATTTATTCTGACTTTGGCTGCGACTTCGATGACCGCGCGCCTTGCGAGATTGTTGGGTGCGCTCACCGCCACGGCGTCGGCCACCGAGCAGTTCCATTTTGATATGCACTGTTGGCTCATCATCTTCGTCGCCATTGTCGTCATCGTCGTCGTCGTCGTCATCATCTTTGGGATCATCTCCGATGGTTGATGTCGATGATCCATTTTTGCTTGGGCCTAATGGCACAGGCCCCATCATTGTGTAGGCGGGATTTTCACTTGTTTGTGCGGATGCGGTTGCAATCGGACTGGCGGAAATTGTGTGCGGCAGATGAGTGGGTGGCATTGTTGGGCCCGATGGCTGATTCATGACCACGTAATTTGGATTGTCAGTAGTATGTAATGTGGAATCGGTTGCTGCCGCTCCCATTAACGTGTAATCGGAATTTTGGCGAGAAGGCATTTGCTGCCGCGGTGGTGCTGCGCTACTGCCGGTCGTGGTGGTCCCACTTGTAGTTTTACCTGGCGTTAATGTTGCATTTAGCGATTCGTCTAAGCGCTTGTAATTTGTATTACCACTTGACGAGAAGGCGCCGTGCGCGCGTGGTGGCGCGTCGCCCGCGCCCGAAAGGCACGATGTATTCGCAGTCTCATCTAACAGACGGTAGTTTGGATTATCGCTGGTGAGCGTTGTGTTTGCATCGGAGGCGGGGGTGAAGAAGCGTGGCGTCACATAGCTACTGGCGCTGCCACTGCCACCGCTCTCAATTGTGCCCAAATTCTGACCGCTCATACTTTTGCCGCGTCCAACGGTAGCCGCTGTCAAGTTGGAATTGCTACTCGACGAGGTGGCGGTATTTGGATTGGAACTGGTGCTCTTGTGACTCGCGTTACTACCTGTGCGTTTGTGATTGAAGATGCGTCGGTTGATGTTTTTGAAGCGCAACGGCATGGACTGCACCTTATCGGCCACGGCTTTCAGGCTCGAATAACGGCCCGCTGTCGCGTTTGTTGAGGAAGCATTTGACGAAGCCGCCGAAGCTGTGGACGGATGCAATGAGGAGCAAATCGGTGTACCAATCATTTCATCGGGCATTGAGCTGGACATTGGCATTATGGTGGGCATGCGATGTCGCGGTTTACTACGAGGCAGTAACTGCTGGCCACCGCTGCCGATGCGGGTATTGTGCCCGCCCATTGGCAAACCATCGAAATCTTCTTCATCTAAAGTCGGATCGTATGGCACGTGTTCGCGGTAGTTTGGACTGGGATCGTACATCTCATAGCCGCGCTCGTCGGTTTCAACGCTACCGCTGGCCATTGGACCCTGACGTGCATTCTTCCCATCGAACGCAGTGCGCGGATCATAGTCGGGAAGGACATAATTGGCAGCAGCCTCTTCAGTGGGAAACTGGCTATAGCGTGGCTGACGAAGAGAAGCCGGTTGTTGTAGCGGATGTGAACGTGAATGCGAATGAGAGCCACCGCTGACAATGCCCGCTGATGTTGAAGGCACCGAACTAAGAAGTGTTTGGTTATTGTGTGACATTTGCGAGAAATTGTAGCTGTTCTTCGATTGGCCGTCTGGGGTGCTGCTGACAATGTTGGCCGAGCCAAGGCTATGGCTGCGATGCAAGAATAAAATTAAATATGGAGTTGATTGTGAAAATTTGTTGAAAGTCGGGACACTTTAATGCATGGATGTAAGTACTGTCTACATATGTATTAATGTATGTATGTATGTAAAAGGAAGATTGTTGTACAACTAATAGGGAGGAAGGAAAATGCTAGGCGGATGAGATGAAAATGAATTAAATGAGGACAGCCTCGGTAATTTTAAGTAACCCTACTGCCTTATGAATACTCGGTGTGATTGAACAAATATTAGATGGGACAAGTACTCAATGCGAAGGCTGGTACCGTACATGCAATGCGTAATAAATAAATTCGCAATTGTCTGTCTTTTACGAGCTTATGTATTATATATTAAAGTAAAATCTATATATATATATATATATATAACGTAAAGTAGTTTATGTAATTTTTGGGCTATAACCGAACAATTTCCAATTGGTGTAAGGGTTCAAATTTCGTTTTGTATATATTTTAAATATCTTGGCGTTGCACTTTTTTTGTTTTTGGTAAATTCGCAATTTTTTACCGCATAAATTAATGTTTAGCAATGTACTCAAGAATGTCATTTAACTAAAATTATGTAAAAAAATAACCAGTTTTTAATTTATTTCGATAAACATACAAGGCTTAAACTTGGTTTTCGGACTTAGCTTTCAGGGAATCATACTATAGAAATTGGTTCTGCTCATAGCCTAAAAATTACCTAAAAAATTTAATGGTGCTTGGCATGCTCTCACCTATATGGAGAGTGGGGATGATCATCGTCAATTGCCATGGGGCTTTCGCCACCATGTTCTACCGAAGAAGTATTGGCCAAATTAAGTTTATATTCATTGAATTCATCTGTTCGCAACGGAGTGGTAGCATCGTCGATTTCGTTCTCTTCACTGAAAATATCACCAGAAGTGTGCATGCTCTCTGGAAAGAGGAAATAAGCAAAAAAGACGGGGAAAATATTACCAAATCATTGAGATATAGAAGAAGAAGAGGTATAATATGAAATTGATTTCCATGATAAGATGCTGCACCATTGTTCACTCACCAGCTCGCTCTTTTTCACGTTCCAGTATACCATGATCGGAGAAGTAGTAGGACACTTCACGGAAGTGAGAAAGATATCCTTCGGAGTCCGTGTGCACATGGTCCATTAGCATGCGTATAATCTTGAAGAAGGACGGTCTCTTCGAGGGACGATGCTCCCAACATTGTTGCATAATTTCATAGATTTTGTCTGGACAGTTGTCGGGGCGTTCCATAACGCCCCCCTCGATGACAAAACGCAGCACTTGATCATTCGAGTAGCCCTGGATTTGTAAAGTTTTCGTTTAGCTTCAATTGCTTCAACTTGTGTAATACTCAATAACTTACGGGATATGGTTGTGATGCAAGTGTAACAATCTCCCAAAGCACCACACCATAACTGAACACATCACTGGCAGTGGAATAGATGCCATCGCGTAAACTTTCCGGTGGCATCCAGCGAACTGGTAACAGACCTACATACATACATATGTGAGGATGGTAAAAAAGGGAATACATGCATGTAAGTATCTACAACGCACCTTTGTCTCCTTTACGATAGTAATCAGTCTCATAGACGTCGCGAGTCATGCCAAAATCACCAATTTTCACCGTCAAATCAAAGCCAACCATGCAGTTGCGTGCCGCTAAATCACGATGCACAAACTTCTTGGCTGACAAGTAAGCCATACCGTCGGCAATTTCAATGGCCATCTGAGCGAAGTTGATATGAAGAGTTTAACAAGAAATTAATACAGGACTTGCAAAGAAACTGACCTGGAAGACGCGACTTAATGGTGGCGGTTGTACGCCAGTTTCGCGGTACCTAAACGGCATTTCATCACCCTGCACGCTATCGGGGCGGTGTGCACGTAGATATGACTTTAAATCACCGAACTTCATCAGCTCCATTACCACAAGCGCTGGCTGTCCAATCGAACAGACGCCGAGTAGCCGCACCACGTGATACGTATCGAACTGCTTCATGACACTGGCCTCGCTCAGGAAATTAATACGCTCGCGATCGGTAGCATTTTCGTTGACAGTCTTAATGGCACACGGCATGTCTGCCTGACTATTGTCTGCACCCTTGAGTATACCTTCGTAGACCATGCCGAAAGAGCCTTGACCGAGTGGACTTAATTGTATGACTCGATCTCGTTCCACCTCCCAACTGTCTTGTACGTATTGCAAACTTATGTAGTACGGATTGACGGTGGGGATGATTTTGATGTCGTTTGGCGGTGCGTACTTTCGTCGGACATACCAGTAAACGCCACCCATCAACAAGAGCACACCAATGACTCCAAAGCAAATGCCGGCAATCAAAGCGCCAGACGATTTTTCGGGCTATAATTTGCGACGAAGAAATTTATGAGTTATGTTGAGTATGAAACCAAGTTAACGTTAGGGTGGACACTTACCGGAATGTCAATGTAAACAACTTCCGAGTAAACACCATCGCCGGCCAGTGAGTTTGCGCGCACCCTAATACTGTAATTGCCGGTCGGCAATGGCATTATGTAACCGTTAGTCAAGTTGCGATAGAACACTTCCGTGATGCAACGCTTCTCTTCGACTGCATCTTGTTCGGATTTCTTATAGGAAATCGTGTAGGAAACCACATCACCATTGGGGTTTTCGGGAGGATCCCAACGCACGCGCACATCACTTCGCGTCGAATTCGTGGGCACTAAGTCAACACGCAGGTTTTGTACCTTGTCCACGCCCTCTGCAATGAGGTGATGCAATTCATGGAATCAATTTTTTCAAATTACATTTCACACTACACTTACCCATTTTTTTCGTACGCACAAAACTCGTGCGCACATCACTGCACTCTTTCTCGGTGGCGCCCAACTCGGGCTCACGGCATGCTTCGACGCCGATCATGTAGACGGAGAAGTGCTTGAGGTTTTCGAACACATATTTAGTAGTGGCAACCGAAATATTCCGCACGATATTCTCATAGTATTGCCCGGTGGCATCCATGCGTGCCTCGTTATTGGGCGACGTTTTGTTGGCACTGCCGACGTGTGTGGTAGTCTCAATCGGTGCAACTGTGGTTATAATATTAGCATCGCCTGTGTTTCCATTCTCGGCGGTAATCTTCAGTATGACGTTTTCCAGATGATCGGGCACGGCGCGCATATGGCGTACAAGAAAACTATCCTCGGGCGCACCTTCACTGTGACGTCGCCGCCGTCGTTTAGCATCCATATCGGTGAGTGAGGCTTTGCTGTCGTCGTCGCTGCTGCTCCTTGATTTCTTTGACTCGTTCGTATGCCTGTGTTTTGATAAAACGAATAAGATATAGAGTTTTTGAAATTGCTTACGATAGCAGTAAGAAATTTGCTATTTTCTCTGGCAACTCACTTCACGTAAATAAAATTTTGCAGAGTATTCTCGAAATCAATGCCAGCAACAATAGTCGCCTCGCTGGTATCGATGTCGCTGTGATTTGGCGATTTTTCGGCATCACATTTGCAGTTGGCGGCGTTTGGTGGTTCCGTGACACCGCCTGGACTTTCGCGCGTGGGGTCCTTGGCATCATCGTCTTTGTCGATTTGTGCAGCTATATTATTAAAGAAGAAGAACACGTATGCATTAATTAAGTTAATTAGCCACAAATAAGGATCACTTACGATCTTTGCAGTAGTTGCGTGAGTCCAATACTTGACTGCGTTTGTCGAGCGATGCATGTACGCGATATACTATCAGATTGCCTTGAGGATTGGCAGGTGGTGTCCATGTAATTGCCTAGAGAGATATTCACATAACCATTTAGTGCGCTCTTTGGTAAGTAAGTTAAGGTGAATTCAAAGGTACTAAGGCTAGGCTGGGGGCTATCGCCAACCAATTAATTACGACATTACTTACGATTTCTGAGCTTGATATTGAGTAGGCATTTAGGCTCTGCACGAATTTCGGTTGCGCAGATTTCGTCTTGAAATGCTGTATATTACTTTGTGCGTTACGCTTCTCCGAGGATATGGTCCAGGTTTTCACGTAGTACGCATACTGTGTGAATGGTTGCAGATTTATGAAAATGTATTGGGTCTCCTTGGTGGGGTCACTCACAATCCACCTATGGAACGTTTTTAAATAAGTAGATGCATATTCATATTTGTTTTAGTAAAAATGTCCTTTTAGTACAAAAATAACTAAAGACTTCTCGCTGGAATGGTCTATAGTGACTACATATATAGTCAACTATAGAAAAGAGGATAATTTTGAATTTGAATTCAATTTTGAATTTCTACAAGAATATACGAATATTTTAAAGTGGCTATCGCTGGAACCATTAAAGTTCGATGTTTTGGGACATTTGTCTTGCACACGAATTCGTATGTATGCATCACTATCCGTACAAAAAATTCGGAATTATGAAATTTATTATATTTTAAGATTTTCGACTAAATATTTCGCAAAAATATTAAGCCTTACGCGTGCCGGACCGATTTGAAAATAACTCCATAAATCTCATTTTTTTATTGCTTTGATAAAATGCTAAAACTCTGCTATCATCTGCTGTGATTTTTTGGAAAATAGTTTCAAAAACTAATTTAATAAAAAAAATAGATTTTTGGAGGTCTTTTCAAATTTGCCCTGCTCAGTCTTTAAATGTAATAAATTGAATAGTTCCGGTGGAAAAACGGCTCCATTTTTTGGTGCGGCACCCTAATGTACATACATACTTACATATAAGAATATATTTTATCGACGAAGTTACACATCAATGAACAAATATCCTGACTTACCCATCATCACAGATGCGCTGTGAATACTTGGTGGCATTTTTGTACTTATCCTCCATGTAAAAGTATTGATAACCAATAAAAGTTCGATTGTCATCAAATACCAATGGATTTTCGATTCTCACAACCGCAACTCGGCTCGACACTTTCGCGATGGTAACGTTCAGTTGTTCTGTGTTACCTAGAATTCAGAGAAATGCATTGCAAGTAAGTACAGTTATTTTTTTTTTTGTTTGTTAATTGCTTTGAATATTTAATAGTTTTCAGTCGAAATGGTGGATATTCAAGCACTCACATGACCCCTTATGTCCATTGGAATCCCTGGCCACCTCATTTTTATCGAACGTCGCATTTTCCTTCATCATCGGTAACAGTTTTTCAATCTCATCGTAACACAGTTTTGGATTAAAGTGAAAGAATACACGCCCCTTTTCAATGGTCACCGTCTGATTGGGGCCCCAAAGTGATTCGAGGTCATTATTCTCAAGTGCATAGATGGCAAATCTTGGAAAGTGATGAAGAGAAGATTTATTTCAATAAATAAGGGCATTGTCGAAGAAGATCTCCACTTGTGCCCACTTACTTATTCTCATCGAGCTCAGTACCCTTAATGCGCTTCAAATGCCTCAAAAACGACAACGAAGTCAAACCATAAGTGCCTTGTATCTTTAGAAATGTGCTGATCTCTTGTATAGACGACAATCCGGATTCCAGTTCCTCCATCAAATGTTCTTTAAAAAGAGAATCGGAAAAATATAATACATACACATACAAGCTCGTTCCACGTCTTCTACTGTGACTTACTTCCGCCACGCTTTATGCTAATAGTCAGTCCATTCTTGACAATGTGCGTGCAGCCGGTGAAATCCTTAGCACGCTCCACACTGTCGATCAGCGCACCATCGCACTTGTTCACACAGTTGTCGCCGCATGCCATGCACGTCGAGCCGATTTTGTTGTAGCCGTTCGGGCAACGAGTGGAGCATTTACCGTCATAAGGCACAATGATCTGCGGCTTATTGTTCTCGAATTTGGTACCAATGGCAATACATTCGTCAGCGGTGAGGCACCGACGATCCAAGTACTGCAAGTATTGGTTAGTATAAATGTTTTGGATTCAGTAAAATTTTTTGGTACGTTTTGTTGAAAAGATTAAAACTTACGCTGAAGTAATTTTTGGGACACTGACTGATGCAGGTGTTGTTGTAGATGGAGAAGTCACGACAGCTGATGCACTCATTCAAGTTGGTGGGAGAGCAGCCGCCGAGACAGTTCTCATTGCAGCAGGTGTGCTCATTCACACAGTTGTTTTTGCAGTGATCAGGGCAAACTGTGGATGAGATAAAAAAAAATGTCGTCGTTAACACAAATATAAAATGCTTTAGAATTTTTGTTAATTCCTAAAGGGCTATCGAACACACCCATAATACAATATTCTAATTGCCGCTTATAGCACTTACTCTTCTGACACTTTTTACTGCTCCAACACCGTCTTTGTCCGTCGAATTCCTTGCAAGCCAACTCACTGTCACCGCCATCTTCTCTGCCAGTCTTTGTATCGCCCGGACACTTGGGGCACTCGATCAATTTGCTGTTATTCTGTAACATTTGGAGAGCAAGCAACAGCTGTGAAATTTACTCAAAAACGAAGCTTCTTCAATGCGAACTCACCTCAATGGTTATTTCCGCGTCGCTGTTAACAATTCGCTTCCACGCAATTGTCTCTACATAGCAGAGCACAATATTGTTCTCGAGGCGCACACCACCACGCGATATCGTGGTCAGCTTGGATAGGCCCAAATCTTCTAGATGCGGATTATAATAGACGATGAGCGCATAGCCTTCGAACAGTGTCGTGCCGCGTATAATACTCAAGTTGGGGAAGATTTGCGACAGCGAACGTAAATTGTGCACCCGATAGATGATGATGAATTCCGTGACTTCGGTAAGCAGCGGAAAGGTTTGTGTGAATTCCTGCGTATTGTGTTGATTCATGAGTGTGATGAGTAGGAAACCTTCTATGACCGTGCAATTGCGTAGTTGACTTAATTCGCTCGGAGAGTTGCGTATATCCAAGGAGCGACACACTGCAATGAAAGAAAATGGATGGGGGAAAAATATTAGCAACAGTGTTGATGAGTTTTTTTTTGGGGGGGTGGAGGGGGGCGGGGGGGGGGNTTTTTGGGGGGGGGAAAGACGTGATACAACTATAAGACATAATCAATGCAAGCAGTATCATTTATCATTTATACAAAAAATTACAATAGTGGCATTCACCAAATTGAGCAGGTGGCCTCGCACTCTGGCAAGAGAGCAGATTAGCCAGGCCACTTGCTCACTTTGGTAAATACCATGAATATCTTCTCTGGTAGCATATACATACATATCGCTGCTTTAGAGTGCAAAGTTGCTAAGTCCATTTTTTTAATTTTACAAGAGAGGAAAAAAAGCAAAACTCCATTCGAATAAGGATTCGATCTTTGTTAAAAGATTTAGAATTGTTTTGGTTTTGCTGGATTTTCGGTGGCTCTTTTGGACTTTAAACGAGAAAAAAAATAAAACAAATACCTCAAATTTTTTTAAATTTAATAATAATTTTTAATATCCTTGATTTCTATATCAAAAAAGTGGATCTAGCAACTTCTCACTCTAAGCTAGCGATATGTACGTATACATACCATGTCGGGGTGTTTATAAAAAAATATTTCTACTTTTATGATCTAAAAAAAAAAAAAAAACAAAAATTCAAACAATTTTACTGCGTCTTTTCGCAGTGTTGAATTGTATTCGCCAATTCAACTACTGCTAATCAATGATGTCAACACTTTCGACAACATCAAACTTCAAAAACACTTAAGTGTGTGCCGCCTGCAACATAAGCACTTCCATACATTTTTTTGCTTCACAAAATGAGTTGTTTGTGAATGGCAACATTTCGAAGCAACAATAGCAAGCACATTGGTTTGTGTACGTCTGTATATACAGTGGCGGTTCCAGGGGGGGTGGGGGGTAGGGAAATTGAAGAAAGAAGCGTTAAATTTTGAAAGACGCGCGACTCAGTGGGTAAATCTTGGGAATACATACAGCTCCTTCTGTGAACTAATAAATTAGTACATTCCTCAAAGTTTATCTGCAAAGTTTCCCCAGATATGGGAAAACTTACAGCTAATTGAAAAACACTCTAGATTGTCATTTTGTGATTTGTTTTGTACTGTGGATCTTATTATTGAGAAACAGTTCCTGTAAACAAAAGATGGTAAGTAAGTATCTATTCCATATTCATGAATTTCTGATAGTCTTTCGTATAAACTAAATTTTTCGAATATTCGTTGATATTTCATTGTGTGACTTTTGGCAATCGACTAAAATAATACTAAATTGCAATTGATTGATACTTCTAATTTATGTTAAGAAGGAAGTAAAACAATTTTTGTAAGAGATTGAGTCATAAGTAAAAAAATAATTTCTCCGTTTTTCAAAATTAGCCTCCGAAATCGAGATATGGGCTTTCGAAATTCGAAGTAGGACCTTTGGTAAAAATTATTTTTAATTATTCTAGGTAAATAACTAAAAAAGTAAAAATATAGGAGTAGTCCGACTTGTGCTCTTATTTAAACGGTATATACATTTTTTTTTGCAAACCTGATAGTTTTTTTCTTGCTTCGTTCTGCTTCATGAGTTTTTGGTAATCTTTGCTTGGCCCCTTGGTCCCTATATTAAAAATAAAGCAGTGCAATTAACTGCGTTGTGCGCGTGCCGAGAGAGTTGAAAAATTAGCTTTTTATCATTAAGGTAAAAATACCACTTTTGGAACGAGTACCAGTTTTTCAAACAATATTACAAATTTTTGTAGAAAAAAAGAATTAAGTGAACACGCCTGAGTGCGATTTTCCTGCAACGTCGTGAGCACTTACAAAATCGCGCAATTATTGACCGAATCTGAGTCCGCATAATTGCGCAATGATTGATCAATTTCGTTATTTTTCTGAAAAATTATATTTGTATCTTACAATTATAACACACTGGTAAAAAATGCTTATCAGTTCTTCAAATTCACAGATTTTTAAAAATTTCAAATTACTTAAATTTGAATTTTTACTTTTTTTGTTGTATTTTTGGATTTGTACTATTTTACATAGTTGAAAGTGAAAGCAAATATTACTTATTTTTAGGATAATTTCCAAAATTTTAAAAACTATCGAAATCTGGGAGTTTATGGAAATTTTGGTAAAATGAGAATATTTTGATGAGAATTTTTGAAATGTAAAATGAAAATTTTGAGAAATTTTATTTATTCTGAAATCCATCCTAAAATGTAAGGTTGTGAAACATCACAAATTGTCGAAAAATTCTTATGTTCATGTATAAAACCTCGAAAATTCTCAGAATTCTAAAATATTTTAACATTTTTGAAAAATTCCAAAAGTTTTCCACTTTTCTGAACATTTATTTTGTGCTTTGTCTATGTCGAAAAAATATTCTGAGGCGGCGTAAAACTCCCGGCCCCCATTTGTGTGGTGCACATTTCAAATTGAGAGAGAAAATCGGCCAAACACCTAACAAAAATGTGAGTGCCAGATATTCTTTCTTCAGTGCAAGTACAACGTACATTTACATATGTATGTACATACATACATACGTACATAAATCGAATGTTTACGTTTGTTTATGTTCGAAATATATAGCTGCGTCTCGCCACTATAATTGCCAATCATAAATCAAAGCCGTCACCGCCCGCCTTGCATAGATTTTTGTTTGGTTTGGTGAAATATGTATGTATGTATGAACCCTACAAGACATTGCTGAGCACTTTAGGCAAAAATCCTCACACATTTACACTTTTGTTTTTGTAGTACGGCATAAATGAGTAGTTTGACTATTAGTACTGAGGACTTTCTGATGACAACATTGAGGGGAAAGTACTCAATTTTTTCCCATGGCCTGAACGAAAATGAGGACTTTGATAAGCACTTTTGTGATTAGGGATAATGATAATATGAGTACTCATATGATACTCAGCTGTCTTGTAGGGAATGCGCATATGTGCATACACATGTACATGTGTATATAATTTATAGAAATAGATATAGAAATTTATTAATTTAAATTAGGCATGATAGTCGTGTGACCATTAATATAATAATAGATTGGCGCTTAAAAAATGTGTTAGTGTTTGGCCGAGAGCTTCTCTTCCGATTTGTTGCGTGCGCGTTGATGTTGCCACACGAAGGGGGGAGGGGGGTGGGACTTACAGTTTTACGCCGACTCCGAACGGCGATTGTATTTTTATGAGAAGCCGTTTTTCATGGCAGAAATACACTCGGAGATTTGTCATTGCCTGCCGAGGGCGACCCCTATTACACTTTTGTAGTCGGAACCTGGGCCTGAACCCATGCTCTGCGGAATGGTAGCGCACACTGCTAACCACTACACCACAGCGGCCGGCCTCGCGTGACCAAAGGAAATTGTGCTAACACTAATGAACGTCGCAAGCATTTCGGGAAGTAGGTCAAACTGACTGACAGTAATGGGAATAAAAAGATTGCCATAAGAAAGATGAAGCAGAGCAGTGTATTGTATCGCACCTGTTTGAGGGCCTCTGCTTTTTATCGTTATCGCATCAAATACGATATCGTATCGCAGTAAATACGATATCGTATCGCAGTAAATACGATATCGTATCGCACCGGTAGTATCGCATCTGTTTGTGGCCACGCTAAAACGCTAAATGGCGGTGTTTTGTTTCTCCTTATCGCTTTATGTGAATTTTGTTGTTAATTCTAAAACTAAACTGTTTTAGTTTTTGAAAATCTGACAGCTGGTTTCAAACATATCATCATTTTCGTAGCGGGCAATTTTATTATTCGCAGTTCTTAGCAAATATTTGTTTCAAATATAAACCAAATCAGAACATATCGTCACTAGACACGAATAAAGGCGCGAGCTCAAATGTTGACCGCGAAAAAAAATTGAAACGAAGAAAAACTCGTTAACCTATTTGACAGGGAAGAGAGATGCGTAAACTTATTTTCGCGGTCAACTATGTTTGCGGGTGTAACAGTGTATAAATTCCCAAAGAGTTTTTGGGCAATGATGCTGAAGTGGCAGTCCTGGGCCAGGTATAAATCTATGTTTACGCGTCTTTCTTCGTCAGAGTTTTTCTAAAGAGAACTGCAGATGGCACAACGCCGAAACCGGTTTGTCTCCAAACCAAATTTGACAAGGGACGGAAAATCGTTCCACAATACATCATACTCCTACCCTGTCGGAAACACAAACAACCAAAAAGAAGATTTTCTAAAGCGATTTCTTCGCTAATTTTTTTACGCGTATTTTTCCCCCGTCAAAACACTAGCGCGCCTTTAGTCTTGTCTAGTGACGATATGTACATTAGACTGATTAAAAAAAAAAAACTACTAACTTTTTTTTTTGTAGTAGCCTCCTCTTCAATACCTCTGGGGAATGTCAAATGATGACTGTTAAAGCGCACATGTTTTTTTTAGGAAATTAGACGCTCTATAAAAAACGTTTCCCAAAATTTTTTGATAAACCTGCTGGTTTGACGATTATTCAAACTTAAGTCATTATTACAGTTGTTTTCTATTTTAAGTAAAATAATTAAATAAATTACATACTTAGGTACCACGCATAAATACTTTATATTGTAAGGTAATTTTTATAAAATTAATTATTATACATAACCTGAATTCATATGATTTATACCAAGTCCTTAAGCCCAGCTACATACTTTCCCACGTACATATGTATGTATGCATGTACATATGTGCTGAAATTAATTTTGGTAATCTGAGAATATTTTCGAAATTTTTCGGTGCTTTTCATGTCTATGCCTTACACTCGAATAAGCAAAAAGTGTTCCAATTTAGTTATTAACTACAATGTATGTATGTACATCCATATATGCGCTTTCTATGCAAATTGCCGAGAAGCCCTGTAGGAAAAACTCCATGCACTTTTAAATTTTATGATTGATTTTTCTTTCTGCCAGTATATGTATCTTAAATTTTTTTCTATCAAAAATATATCCCAGATTCCATTTTTGTATTAATTGTGTAAATAAATTTCATAATTTTTATAGATAGATATGTATTAAGTGCATTCTGCATTCGAAATCTTACTTTGTGTGCGCACGGAGGCAGTTTAAATGTCGACCACTCTCTAAATGCGACAAGCGGCACGCGTGACGGGTGTATGCGTGCTCGACGAGTGTGTGCGGGCGTGCTACTGTGTACTTAGGGCAGTTTGGTGGGCGCGTATGACTTTTGCATACGTTATGAATTTGTGAAGAATGCGCTCACCACTGCCGCCTAGCCATTTGGCCATTCTAGGCAGCAGCTAACTTGCCGGCATTTAGATTTCTTTTTTTTTGTAACCACGACTGCCTTGCTGGCTTGCCTAAGGCGGTTTTGAGCTAACATACAAAGGTACATACATACATACATATTTAGTACACGTGTTTTAAAGTAAATATACACAAATATATTTCTCGCGCGTTAACCGATGTGATCTCATTGAAGTAGAACTTTTTCATGGGTTAAATAGTTATGAGGTAGCGGTTATAACCTGTCTACCAACATACATACGTATGTACAAGTAAGTACTTTGAGTGTATTTATGCAAAATGTGCGCTGCTCATCACTCCGCTTTCGAATCACGTTTAGTATGTTTTGCATTTAAAAACACATGTCGTAAATTTGTAATTCTTGGAAAGTACAAATATTTTACAACAAAAATTTTATATAAAAAAAAAATTACGTTCATAAAAATGTTTGTTGTTGGTTGCCTATGTGTCTGGCCTGCGGTTAGTTGGCTGCCAATAAAGACGTGATGTGAAGCCATGGATATTGCCATTGGTAGTACTGATATTTTGTGCTTAGGAAAATGAAATGGAATGCAAAGTGTGTTATGGGTAGGCATTCTTATCCATATATACATACATATAGATTGGGAACTGTGTACATATATACGTATGTAATACTTATAATTAATACAAAAACAAGTTACTAAAAATTCATGGAAAATATTTATTGGTACCATGGCGTATGAGTTACATACCCCTACACATGTAGATATGTATACAAAACATATCGTCGATGTTTCTGCAAAACCGCCTACCGACCAGTTGCAAAACCGCCTAAATCCCTGTTGTGGCAAAACTCCCAGTTTTGGGGACCCCGAACTCCAGAGAAAACCCACCTATCAAGGCAATGCCTTCAAAGAAAATGCGTTTTTTCGCTCTACTGTAAAATTTGAGTGCCGCAAGATAGCCGGTTTTGAGATAAGTGGTTGGGCGGTTTTGCAAACACATCGACGATATGTTCATGTACTATGTAGAGAAAAAATAAATAGGAGCGCGTTATTTTAACAAGTTTTGGGAATTTTTTTTTTTTTTAAATTTATTATTATTTTATTTATTTTTTTTGTTTTTTTATAAAAGTATAGCTCACCATCTAATAAAAATCACATAAATCCAAATCTCGACCTTTGTGCAAAAATTACGCCAACTCTGCAAATTTCATCTGAATTGCAAACTTTTTTATTAGAATCTCTAGAACTCAATTTTGGTATGCAATTTTATAGCTCTTTAAATTTTAGTATCAAATTTAAATTTTTATAAAATCGCTTTGATTTTTGGCTTTTTTTTGCGCATTTTCTTCCGTAAAAAGTCTATATTTTTGACAATTTTTTTTTTTGTATGGAAGGAGTTGTTTAAACCTTCAGCAAAAAATTAGCAAAACCATACGCAATTTTTTTTTAGCTGGGAATTAAATTAAATGTTTTGGTAGGCTTAGGTTTATAGACTAGGTGCGGCTGGCAAATTTTTTCATGAATGAATACACACTTTGAAGAATGTGGGGAATTTCATTTATTGCGGTTAATTTTGATGGGAACGGAAGTGGTGTGAAGACGTGAGTTACATAATTAATAAAGCAATTAAATCGAGTAATTTATTGCCCAGCGACCATAATTGTATACGCATGCATTGCGCTAAAATGTGCGAAAAGAATATTAGGAAAATCCAAAAAAAAACGTGCGAAACGAAGACTCATTGACCAAATTCGTAAAAATGTAAATGATCTGCGTTTTCCATGTTAACTGGTTCTAGCCTTTACGCCTTATAAGTATCTGTATCTAAGCGGTGTCATCAAAACAGTTGCAAACGACAAAGTTGCTGAGTGGCATGCCACGCATTTCATGCATTTGTTGCTTGCAGTTTGAAATTGTTGACTGCATTCATAATGTTTATTAGCCTCGATAAGTATTACTTCTGCTGCAGAAAAACTTCCGCTAATTCGCAATTCACTATTACCATTTTAAATTTAACAGTGAACATCATCATCGTCTGCAGGCAACAACTACATCGCCAATGAATGGCATATTGTCAGGTGCAATATTCTGCTCTTGACAGACGGCAAATTTCATTTTGGAATTCATATTCCGCACTCCGCATTTACTTGAGTAATTTTCTATAGTTTTTTTTTCACTCTATTTGGTAGCATAAATTTCATCTGCAGAGTCATCGAAATGTTGTCAATAGAATGACTGATATGTGCTAGAAACTTACACATATATTTTCGGTTCTTCTGGAAGCATTTTTCGGGTCGTTTGTAATCGAGTTTCAGTTATTCTGTATTTGTTTCTCGGGCCTTTGTCATTGAGTTTCGGTTCTTCTAGAACCGTATTTTGGGTTTTTTGTAATCGAGTTTCGGTTATTCCGGCACCGTTTTCCGGCTCCTTCGGGTCTTTTGCAATCGAGGTTCGGTTCTTCCGGAAACGTTTTTCGGGTCTTTTGAAATCGAGTTTTGGTTCTTCTTAGACCGTTTTTCGGGTATTTTGGAAAAGAATTTCGGTTTTATCGGAACCGTATTTTGGCTCGTTTCTAATCGAGTTTCGGTTCTTTTGGAATTGTTTTTCATTTGGAATCGATTTTAGCTTCCGTTAGACCCGCTTCTCCAACGGACACGGTTCTCCGTTTCCTGGTCCTCGCTTCTGTTCAACACTAATATGAATCAACCCAGTCTAGTGTGTACATCCTTCTGCAGATGTATTTTTTAACTACCTTTGGGCATTGCAATTGCCAACTATGCCAGGTTAACAGCTAGCTGCCCTTTGACTTAATCCTTGTCAAAAGGGTGTTTTCGTTGATTTTTTTTTGTTTTTTGGTGCTGCCGGTACTTACCATAAAATTTAATTGCGACCACAATTAATTTTTGGTTTGTTCGCGTGCACGCCTCTTCCTACCAACATGCAAATATTGTACGTATGTACGTATATATTCAATTTGTACCAGAAGAAATTTTGCAACAATGCTGCACTTGCAAGTGGTTATTTCCATTTTTCAAAGGCCATTTAGGGTTGTGGAACCACCACTGAAGCCAGGTGGGAGTACGGTGAAATATTCATAAACCGAAATTATTTTTCCAAATGTATATACCCTATTTTTTAAGTGTGACTATTTGCGCTTTTTTCGGCGGCATTGAATGCACGCGACACAGCGGCGCTTGCTGGAAACTTTTCGAAAGGGGTCTTCGGCAAGCCTCGTTGCAAAACTTTACAAAGTGTGTGCATAGTTGCGTTACAATATTTTCCTGTTTCTGAGTACTTGAAATGGTCTCGCAAAGAAATTACTGTTTCTGAGTACTTGCATAAATATTGAATGGGGCTGAAGCCCGCGGCGTGCCCCGCTTTGCGCTATAAATGGCCAGCGCGTTTAAAGTGAGTGTAGCGGACAATTTCAGAGCAGTTGTCCAACTATTTCCTTTAGTTTTTGTTTTCAATTGAGTAAAATGTTAGGCCTTAAAAAATGCACGAACAATGTCTGTATGTATGTGTGCGCGGGATTAGGGCGTTTTAGTAAAAAATTACATTTTAATATGCACTGTTTTGTGTGACGGAAGAGAGAAATTTGCATGCAACTTCATTTTATAAATATTTAATAGCGAGCCGCGGTGACGGCGATGGGTGCTCTTCGTACGGAAGAGGTCAGGCGGCGGACGGTCAGACAGGCGGCATGCCATGGTGGTGAGTTGCAACAATGCAGTCGTGCATCAACAGACGTCAAAGTGCCAAGAGCGGGTATGAATAACTGCATATAAAAATACTGCGCAGCTTGCTGGACAACAGGGTTTGTCAGTTGGTGTGCGAGTTTTGGGCAGATAACGGTTGACAGCTAAAATAAGCTACCAACTAAAGGAAACTTCTTAACGTCGTATTTTTTATTTGTATGACTTGTCTTGTTGACTTATTTGACATGCGTATGGGTGGGCGTACGTTGGCGTGGCAGCCACGCCCCTTGCTGCCGCCATTAGTGTCATAAGCAACAACAAAGGCGCCGTCATCAAACCGTACGTCAGTGTTTGTGCGGCAATTGTACTTACAAACATATTTACTTATGTATGTATGTATGTATGTGTAATATTTTGACATTTTCCTGACATTTGCAGTTGAGTTGACTTCGGGTATGATATACATATGTATAATTTAACTTTTGAAATTCCCTTCCTTACACAGTGGACACGGGGTACTCGCAGGGAACCGTGAAGGTGGACAATTGGAGGTCCAGAAAGCTTGAATGAAAACTCAGGATCCCCCTAGATTGGTCGAGGAGTCGTGCCTTAAAGATCGCGGGCAAGGGGTATGGGTCCACGAATAACCTTCTGGTGAGTTTGAGTGTGGAAATCGGAACCGATGCGAAATTAAATTATTCGCCGGGGGTGTGTAACTTACCGATTTCATATTTCCCACTGATCTGGCAACATGAAACATTGGCAGCAGATCAACTTTTAAACATATCTTCTAACAGAAGGGAAGTAAGTAATGGACATTTCTCTCACATAGGGCATTTTCGAACTAGCTGTCGAGATAGGTCGATCTTCCACTCAGCCATCGATATAGTACGTATCATTACTATACGACACCCAAATATTGAGAAGGTTTGACTATTTAATTTTTTATTATCTAATTTTAATTGTTATTTTTTTTATAAAAATATAGTTTATTATATAACAAAAATCATTAAAATAGAAAATTAAAACTTTCTACAAAAAAAAAAATCAACAAAGTTTTATAAAACTTTGCCAGAATTTTCAGAAAACTTTGGGTATGCTAGTACAACAAAGGGTAAGTTTGAAATAATTACAAAATACCTTTGATTTTTTGGAATTGTTTTTTGTTGACGTTGTTGTGCATTTTATTCCATGTAAAAAAAATTGGCGAACGTACTTTATATGGAAGTTAATGCGTGACACCGTCAGCAAAAAAAAAAAATATATATAAAATTTACATAGTAATTAATATTTCGCGTGGTCAAAATATGTCCGAAC